TGCTTTGGGTTTGGGCGCCTGTGCCTCCCGAAAGCTGCGCATCAAAGGTCACTCTGACGAAGGGTCGCTCTCACGTGTAGCCGACATTCCCCCATCGCCATCACCCCTCCCCCCCAAGACTGAGGGGGACCGACAGGGCGGGACGGGAAACCTCGACCTGGAATCGGCGATAAATCGCCGATGTATCGGCGAATGGCACCTGCCCCTTTATACGTGGGGCATCACAATACGTGGGACACCCTTACCGTTGTCAGCGTACCAATGCTGGAAGCATGATCCCAAGGACGACAGAAGCATAAAAGAACGCTGCAATGCTGCGCATGAAGGAATACCCGACGCAGCAACAGCAAAGGTTTGAGGTCAATTCAACATCACAAAAACATCGCTCCTCCATATGTGTTCATCTTCCCCGCTGTGGCTCTGGGCATCACTCAAAAGTTGCAATTGTGACTGTCGGCACAGAGGCCAGAACACGGTCGCTCGTTTTCCCCTCACAGGGCCGTGTGCTTGGTACAAGCCGCTGGGGGAGTCATTACGTCCTTGTGGTCGTCTTCTCCCAACAAACCGCCGACGGCAAACCCTGCGTGCCGTAAATGCTTCACGTACAAATTAAGATACATGAGGCCGCTCTCTGTACGTCCATGAACGACTTTCAGTTCAACTTTTCGGAATCCTAGCCCCAAAGCGAGCCATTCTGTAGCCTTGTTATCAGGTTGCGACGCGCTGTAATGATAGCCTCCAGCTTGGTTTGCATCTGCCCAAGACCCTGTGACGTTCACTTCTTGGAAGTACATCTCCGCGCAAGATCCACCCAACCGGCGCGCATCGGCCTGCACGCGAAGCAATGCGTCCTCAGCGTCCATTCCACGAGGAACGTTTATCAGAACATGCTTGCCTGGCTTCATCAAATCGAACCGCTCGCCATGAACGTTTTGAAGATGGGGGTCGCCAGTGGCAGCCACGCCGGCGCCGCCCATGGCTCCGGCCATGGCCGCTGCAGGAGGAAACGTCGGATGTGGCGTCGGCCAACCCGCAGGATACGTCGGGCTGGGCGTCGGGCTGGGCGTTGGGAACGCCGTCGGGAAGGCCGTCGGGTAGGGCGTCGGGAAGGCCGTTGGGAAGGCCGTCGGGAAAGCCGTCGGGAAAGCCGTCGGGTAAGCGGTCGGGTAGGGCGTCGGGTAGGGCGTCGGGAAGGCCGTCGGGAAGGCCGTCGGGAAAGCCGTCGGGTAAGCTGTCGGGTAAGCGGTCGGGTAGGGCGTCGGGTATGGCGTCGGGAAGGCCGTCGGGAAGGCCGTCGGGTAGGGCGTCGGGTAGGGCTGTCGGGTAGGGGCGTCGGATAGGCGTCGGGTAAGGCGTCGGGTTTTGGCGTCGGGTAGGCGTCGGGTTGGGCGTTGGTTGGGCGTTCGGGTTGGGCGTCGGGTTGGGCGTCGGGTAAGGCGTAGGGTAGGGCGTCGGGTAGGGCGTCGGGTTGGGCGTCGGGTTGGGCGTCGGGTAAGGCGTAGGGTAGGGCGTCGGGTAGGGCGTTGGGTTTGGCGTCGGGTTGGGCGTCGTCTGCGTGTTGTGTTTTGTACTCAATGTCAATTCTCCAACCTGGAAGAGTACAGTACGTGCTCGCGGAATAACTGGGACTGATGGAGTTGCTACCCCAATTCCAGTTCGAGATGCCACTCGGGTAAGTTGCGCTCGAGGCGGTGCACGCGAGGCACGCGCTGCAACTGCAGTCCGTTGGCGAACCGCAATTTCCTGAGGCGGTCGTGCCTGACAACGTCATTGACAGAGTCCCAGTGGATGCCTCTTCTCCGTTTGCCGTTTATCGGCTCCTGAACGACGTGCCCAGTGACGCCCCTCCACCAAAATTCACATTGGCCCACGCCACATCGTAGCTACCGCCTTGGCCGAGACAATTGTACCCTGACCTGCCGCAAACCGAGCAATGGCCTGAGGTACCATATACGGTGTACGGGTTTTGCGCCTGGCGCGACTGTGCTGTGCTATTCTCCTCGAATTCGACCACGACGTGCAGCTTACCCGCGCCGTCGTCCGTTTCCTCGAAGACGACGGGGGGCAGTGGGAAAGGCTCACTCTGCACGGGATCAGGGTCTTCCTTCCTGAGACGCTGCTGCATCAAGTGGACGTCGGCGTGGCTGCTCTCAAGCGAGCCGAGGGCCGATGCAACACCGATGAGCCCTGTGTAGATATGCATCATGATGTGCATCGTATTACTTGCACGAAAGGTGTATGCGTGATGCGTGCACCCGCGGAAATGATGGGTCAGTCTTGAGACCACTACGGAAGAGAGCTCTGGGGGTCGCGCAGTCGAAACCGAACGTTGTCGGAGGTTTGGGAGCGGGACAATCAAGCAAGGACAGTGTCAAGGGCAACTGTTCACTGTGCGGCGCTTGTTGGAGCCGCGTGGACGCCCTGAATCGCGAAAATGCGGTATTCCTGGAAGGCTTGAAGAACGCAATGAAAACGAAACTTGGGCCGTGGTGGAACCTCTTGGACGCATGCTGTGGGGTCCGTCTCAGGGGTCTCTTGGGTGTGGAGCCGTCTGTGGGGTCCCTTGAAGCCGTCTTGGGACCGCATTTGGCCCATCTACGGATCTTCTTGGACCGTACTGGGCCAGGCTGAGGCTTCTCCTGTGCACCTCTTGGGGTAGCCCTGTTTGAGCCGTCCACAGGCCCTTTTGCCCGTCTGGGGGCTCTCTTGAGGCCCTGCTGGGGCGTTGGGGGGGCCTCTTGGGCGGGGCTGGCTCGGACAGTGTCTGGAGCTTTCGGACGCCCTCAGAGGGCACCAAGAACGCTCGTGGGCCGTCTTGGAAGCGTCTGGGGCCGGCTGAGGCCCGCGATGGCAAATCCACACGTCCCGGACGGGGCGGGCTATTTGGCCCCCTGGCCCAAACACACACGGCAGTACGATCTGAAAGGCGTTGGTGAAAGCTCGCAAAGCAGGCGCACAACGACCTCTCGGACAGACCTTGACTCCAGCATTCCGCCACTCCCAGTCCTCCATCCCCTTCAGGGCCTCGCCCGACGACCGTGGCAGCACCTGCCCTCCCACAGGCCGCCCAGGCCCCGAGGGCCAAGGCAGGGAGGTTGACCACCGAGAGAAGGAAGGGCGGGCTTCCAGGTGTTGTGGGGGAGGGGGGGGCGAAAACGAGCGGGTCCAGTGATAATGACCCTGGGCAGGAGTGATCTGTGGTACGCGGCCTGCCGATCGTGGCATGCGATGCGACCAGTGGCGGCCTGCGTGCTTTGGGTTTGGGCGCCTGTGCCTCCCGAAAGCTGCGCATCAAAGGTCACTCTGACGAAGGGCCGCTCTCACGTGTAGCCGACATTCCCCCATCGCCATCACCCCTCCCCCCCAAGACTGAGGGGGGCCGACAGGGCGGGACCAGCTCAGGGGGGGAAACTTCGACCTGGAATCGGCGATAAATCGCCGATGTATCGGCGAATGACACCTACCCCGTATACGCGGGGCATCACAATACGTGGGACACCCTTACCGTTGTCAGCGTACCAATGCTGGAAGCATGATCCCAAGGACGACAGAACCATAAAAGAACGCTGCAATGCTGCGCATGAAGGAATACCCGACGCAGCAACAGCAAAGGGTTTGAGGTCAACACAACATCACAAAAACATCGTTCCTTCGCATGTGTTCATCTTCCCAGCTGTGGCTCTGGGCATCACTCAAAAGTTGCAATTGCGACTGTCGGCACGGAGGCCAGAGCACGGTCGCTCGTTTTCCCCTCAGCCAGAGCCGTATGCATGGTACAAGCCGCTGGGGGAGTCATTACGTCCTTGTGGTCGTCTTCTCCCAACAGACCTCCGACGGCAAACCCTGCGTGCCGTAAATGCTTCACGAACAAATTAAGATACAGGAGGCCGCTCTCTGTACGTCCATGAACGACTTTCAGTTCAACTTTTCGGAATCCTAGCCCCAAAGCGAGCCATTATGTAGCCTTGTTATCCGGTTGCGACACGCTGTAATTATAGCCTCCAGCTTGGTTTGCCTCTGCCCAAGACCCTGTGACGTTCACTTCTTGGAAATACATCTCCGCGCAAGATCCACCCAACCGGCGCGCATCGGCCTGCACGCGAAGCAATGCGTCCTGAGCGGCCATTCCACGAGGAACGTTTATCAGAACATGCTTGCCTCTGGCTTCATCAAATCGAACCGCTCGCCATGAACGTTCTGAAGATGGGGGTCGCAGTGGCAGCCACGCCGGCGCCGCCCATGGCTCCGGCCATGGCAGCTCCAGGAGGAAACGTCGGATGTGGCGTCGGCCAACCCGGAGGATACGTCGGGCTGGGCGTCGGGCTGGGCGTCGGGAACGCCGTCGGGAAGGCCGTCGGGTAGGGCGTCGGGAAAACCGTCGGGAAGGGCGTCGGTAAGGGCGTCGGGTAGGGCGTCGGGTAAGCGGTCGGGAAAGCCGTCGGGAAGGGCGTCGGGAAGGGCGTCGGGAAGGGCAACGGGAAGGGCGTCGGGAAGGGCGTCGGGAAGGGCGTCGGGTAGGGCGTCGGGAAAGCAGTGGGGAAGGGCGTCGGGTAAGGCGTCGGGTAGGGCGTCGGGTAGGGCGTTGGGTATGGCGTCGGGTAGGGCGTCGGGTATGGCGTCGGGTAGGGCGTCGGGTTGGGCGTTGGGTTCGGCGTTGGGTTGGGCGTCGGGTTGGGCGTCGGGTAAGGCGTAGGGTAGGGCGTCGGGTAGGGCGTCGGGTTGGGCGTCGGGTTGGGCGTCGGGTAAGGCGTAGGGTAGGGCGTCGGGTAAGGCGTAGGGTAGGGCGTCGGGTAGGGCGTCGGGTTTGGCGTCGGGTTGGGAGTCGTCTGCGCGTACTCAATGTCAATCTCCAACCTGGAAGTACAGTAGGTGCTCGCGGAATAACTGGGACTGATGGAATTGCCACCCCAATTCCAGTTCGAGATGCCACTCGAGTAAGTTGCGCTCGAGGCGGTGCACGCGGCGCACGCGCTGCAACTGCAATCCGTTGGCGAACCACACTATCCTGAGGCGGTCGTGCCTGACAACGTCATTGACAGAGTCCCAATGCTGCACTTAGCTCCGTATGCCGTTATTGTCCACTTGGTGACTGTGCCCAAGTTGACGCCACCAAAATTCACATTGGCCCACGCCACATCGTAGCTACCGCCTTGGTCGAGACAATTGTACCCTGATCTGCCGCAAACAGAGCAGTGGCCTGAGGTACCATATACGGTGTATGGGTTTTGCGCCTGGCGCGACTGTGCTGTGCTATTCTCCTCGAATTCGACCACGACGTGCAGCTTGCCCGCGCCGTCGTCCGTTTCCTCGAAGACGACGGGGGGCAGTGGGAAAGGCTCACTCTGCACGGGATCAGGGTCTTCTTTCCTGAGACGCTGCTGCATCAAGTGGACGTCGGCGTGGCTGCGCTCAAGCGAACCGAAGGCCGATGCAACACCGATGAGCCCCGTGTAGATATGCATCATGATGTGCATTGTATTACTTGCACGAAAGGTGTATGCGTGATGCGTGCACCCACGGAAATGATGAGTCAGTCTTGAGACCACTACGGAAGAGAGCTCTGGGGGTCGCGCAGTCGAAACCGAACGTTGTCGGAGGTTTGGGAGTGGGACAATCAAGCAAGGACAGTGTCAAGGGCAACTGTTCACTGTGCGGCGCTTGTTGGAGCCGCGTGGACGCCCTGAATCGCGAAAATGGGTATTCCTGGAAGGCTTGAAGAACGCAATGAAAACGAAACTTGGGCCGTAGTGGAACCTCTTGGACGCATGCTGTGGGGTCCGTCTCAGGGGTCTCTTGGGTGTGGAGCCGTCTGTGGGGTCCCTTGAAGCCGTCTTGGGACCGCATTTGGCCCATCTACGGATCTTCTTGGACCGTACTGGGCCAGGCTGAGGCTTCCTGTGCACCTCTTGGGGTAGCCCTGTTTGAGCCGTCCACAGGCCCTTTTGCCCGTCTGGGGGCCCTCTTGAGGCCCTGCTGGGGCGTTGGGGGGGCCTCTTGGGCGGGGCTGGCTCGGACCGTGTCCGGAGCTCTCGGACGCCCTCAGAGGGCACCAGGAACGCTCGTGGGCCGTCTTGGAAGCGTCTGGGGCCGGCTGAGGCCCCCGATGGCAAATCCACACGTTCCCGGACGGGGCGGGCTATTTGGCCCCCTGGCCCAAACACACACGGCAGTACGATCTGAAAGGCGTTGGTGAAAGCTCGCGAAGCAGGCGCACAACGACCTCTCGGACAGACCTTGACTCCAGCATTCCGCCACTCCCAGTCCTCCATCCCCTTCAGGGCCTCGCCCGACGACCGCGGCAGCACCTGCCCTCCCACAGGCCGCCCAGGCCCCGAGGGCCAAGGCAGGGAGGTTGACCACCGAGAGAAGGGCGGGCTTCCAGGTGTTGTGGGGGGGGGGGGCGAAAACGAGCGGGTCCAGTGAGAATGACCCTGGGCAGGAGTGATCTGTGGTACGCGGCCTGCCGATCGTGGCATGCGATGCGACCAGTGGCGGCCTGCGTGCTTTGGGTTTGGGCGCCTGTGCCTCCCGGAAGCTGCGCATCAAGGGTCACTCTGACGAAGGGCCGCTCTCACGTGTAGCCGACATTCCCCCATCGCCATCACCCCTCCCCCCCCCAAGACTGAGGGGGACCGACAGGGCGGGACGGGAAACCTCGACCTGGGATCGGCGATAAATCGCCGATGTATCGGCGAATGGCACCTGCCCCTTATACGCGGGGCATCACAATACGTGGGACACCCTTACCGTTGTCAGCGTACCAATGCTGGAAGCATGATCCCAAGGACGACCGAACCATAAAAGAACGCTGCAATGCTGCGCATGAAGGAATACCCGACGCAGCAACAGCAAAGGGTTTGAGGTCAATTCAACATCACAAAAACATCGCTCCTCCATATGTGTTCATCTTCCCAGCTGTGGCTCTGGGCATCACTCAAAAGTTGTAATTGTGTCTGTCGGCACAGAGGCCAGAACACGGTCGCTCGTTTTCCCCTCACAGGGCCGTGTGCTTGGTACAAACCGCTGGGGGAGTCATTACGTCCTTGTGGTCGTCTTCTCCCAACAGACCTCCGACGGCAAACCCTGCGTGCCGTAAATGCTTCACGTACAAATTAAGATACAAGAGGCCGCTCTCTGTACGTCCATGAACGACTTTCAGTTCAACTTTTCGGAATCCTAGACCCAAAGCGAGCCATTCTGTAGCCTTGTTATCAGGTTGCGACACGCTGTAATGATAGCCTCCAGCTTGGTTTGCCTCTGCCCAAGACCCTGTGACGTTCACTTCTTGGAAGTACATCTCCGCGCAAGATCCACCCAACCGGCGCGCATCGGCCTGCACGCGAAGCAATGCGTCCTCAGCGTCCATTGCACGAGGAACGTTTATCAGAACATGCTTGCCTGGCTTCATCAAATCGAACCGCTCGCCATGAACGTTCTGAAGATGGGGGTCGCCAATGGCAGCCACGCCGGCGCCGCCCATGGCTCCGGCCATGGCAGCTGCAGGAGGAAACGTCGGATGTGGCGGCGGCCAACCCGGAGGATACGTCGGGCTGGGCGTCGGGCTGGGCGTCGGGAGCGCCGTCGGGAAGGCCGTCGGGTAGGGCGTCGGGAAAACCGTTGGGAAGGCCGTCGGGAAGGGCGTCGGGAAGGGCGTCGGGAAGGCCGTCGGGTAGGGCGTCGGGTAAGCGGTCGGGAAAGCCGTCGGGAAGGGCGTCGGGAAGGGCGTCGGGAAGGGCGTCGGGTAGGGCGTCGGGTAGGGCGTCGGGAAAGCAGTGGGGAAGGCCGTCGGGTAAGGCGTCGGGTAGGGCGTCGGGTAGGGCGTCGGATAGGGCGTCGGGTAAGGCGTCGGGTATGGCGTCGGGTAGGGCGTTGGGTTCGGCGTCGGGTAGGGCGTCGGGTTGGGCGTCGGGTTGGGCGTCGGGTAAAGCGTAGGGTAGGGCGTCGGGTAGGGCGTCGGGTTTGGCGTCGGGTTGGGCGTCGGGTAAGGCGTAGGGTAGGGCGTCGGGTAGGGCGTCGGGTTTGGCGTCGGGTTGGGCGTCGTCTGCGTGTACTCAATGTCAATCTCCAACCTGGAAGTACAGTAGGTGCTCGCGGAATAACTGGGACTGATGGAATTGCTACCCCAATTCCAGTTCGAGATGCCACTCGAGTAAGTTGCGCTCGAGGCGGTGCACGCGGCGCACGCGCTGCAACTGCAATCCGTTGGCGAACCACAATATCCTGAAGCGGTCGTGCCTGACAACGTCATTGACAGAGTCCCAGTGCTGCACTTAGCTCCGTATGCCGTTACTGTCCCCTTGGTGACTGTGCCCAAGTTGACGCCACCAAAATTCACATTGGCCCACGCCACATCGTAGCTACCGCCTTGGCCGAGACAATTGTACCCTGATCTGCCGCAAGCCGAGCAGTGGCCTGAGGTACCACATACGGTGTATGGGTTTTGCGCCTGGCGCGACTGTGCTGTGCTATTCTCCTCGAATTCGACCACGACGTGCAGCTTGCCCGCGCCGTCGTCCGTTTCCTCGAAGACGACGGGGGGCAGTGGGAAAGGCTCACTCTGCACGGGATCAGGGTCTTCCTTCCTGAGACGCTGCTGCATCAAGTGGACGTCGGCGTGGCTGCGCTCAAGCGAGCCGAAGGCCGATGCAACGCCGATGAGCCCCGTGTAGATATGCATCATGATGTGCATCGTATTACTTGCACGAAAGGTGTATGCGTGATGCGTGCACCCGCGGAAATGATGAGTCAGTCTTGAGACCACTACGGAAGAGAGCTCTGGGGGTCGCGCAGTCGAAACCGAACGTTGTCGGAGGTTTGGGAGTGGGACAATCAAACAAGGACAGTGTCAAGGGCAACTGTTCACTGTGCGGCGCTTGTTGGAGCCGCGTGGACGCCCCGAATCGCGAAAATGCGGTAATCCTCCTGGAAGGCTTGAAGAACGCAATGAAAACGAAACTTGGGCCGTAGTGGAACCTCTTGGACGCATGCTGTGGGGTCCGTCTCAGGGGTCTCTTGGGTGTGGAGCCGTCTGTGGGGTCCCTTGAAGCCGTCTTGGGACCGCATTTGGCCCATCTACGGATCTTCTTGGACCGTACTGGGCCAGGCTGAGGCTTCTCCTGTGCACCTCTTGGGGTAGCCCTGTTTGAGCCGTCCACAAGCCCTTTTGCCCGTCTGGGGGCCCTCTTGAGGCCCTGCTGGGGCGTTGGGGGGGCCTCTTGGGCGGGGCGAGGGCACCAAGAAAGCTCGTGGGCCGTCTTGGAAGCGTCTGGGGCCGGACGGGGCGGGCTATTTGGCCCCCTGGCCCAAACACACACGGGTAGGGCGTCGGGTAGGGCGTCGGGTAAGCGGTCGGGAAAGCCGTCGGGAAGGGCGTCGGGAAGGGCGTCGGGAAGGGCGTCGGGAAGGGCGTCGGGTAGGGCGTCGGGAAAGCAATGGGGAAGGCCGTCGGGTAAGGCGTCGGGTAGGGCGTCGGGTAGGGCGTCGGATAGGGCGTCGGGTATGGCTTCGGGTAGGGCGTCGGGTAGGGCGTCGGGTTGGGTGTTGTGTTCGGCGTTGGGTTGGGCGTCGGGTGGGCGGGCGCAGCTTCCACGGAAGCCCTGACCGAAGTGAGTCAACTCACGACTGCCAGGGCCGCCAGAAGTTCCTCGTTCGGTGAGTCCCTCGCCGCCGCGAGCGCGGCGCAGCCGGACGTGGCGACGAGGGGGGCCCCGAACAAGCCCAGACAGGCATCCGTCGCGACCCTGGCCTACCGCAAGGGCAGGCCAGGGGGACGGAAACCACCCCCGCGGGGACGGACGGGCAGCCAGACGGCCCCCAGAGACCCCCAGGGAGGGGACTCGGGTTCGCGCTCCTGCGCGAGCCCCAGTCCGAGGCGCCACCCCGCAAAACAAGCCGCGGGGGCCGCCGACCAAAATCTCGAGGCGGATCCAGCCAGAGCCACTGGAGCGCCGACGGCCCGCCCCGAGCCTCAGCAGTCGCCGACAGCCCTGTCCTCCCGCCGAAAACGCGGAACAAGCTCACTCCCTGGACGCGGAAGCACTGTCGGAAGCGATGGGATTGCATGAAGGCGTGCATCAGGCCGAGGTCCACGTCCTCGTACTCGAGCTGGCGCACCACGTCCTCCATGCTCACGCCGACGTCGGCGAGCCCAACCTCCAGCTCGCCCTCCGCATGATTGGAATTGACCGCCGCGTGGCGATGCGAGAACAGCTTGACGAGGAACTGCTCGGCGTCGAAGCGCGGGCAGGCAACGTCCTCGCACGCGCGGTCCGCGGGCACGGCCCCTGGGAAACCGCCGTCGTCGCTTTTCACGTGGCACCCCTCGTCGCCGAACATCTGCTCCGAGCCAACCTCGACGACCTCGTCGAACTCCAGCTCCGAGCCAGCAACGTCAACCCTCGGCGCCCCGCACTCGGAGGACACCACGACGGCCTCCAAGGAGGCGCGCTCTCCCACTCGATCATCTCCAGTACCA